TTATCACAAGGGTAGGTGAAAGGGGAAGATTATCACAGGGGTAGGTGAAAGGAGAAGATATCACAAGGGTAGGTGAAAGGAGATTATCACAAGGGTAGGTGAAAGGAGAAGATTATCACAAGGGTAGGTGAAAGGAGATTATCACAAGGGTAGGTGAAAGGGGAAGATTATCACAAGGGTAGGTAAAAGGGGAAGATTACCACAGGGGTAGGTGAAAGGAGAAGATTATCACAGGGACAGGTGAAAGGAGATTAATATTACAAGGGTAGGTGAAAGGAGATTATCACAAGGGTAGGTGAAAGGAGATTATCACAAGGGTAGGTGAAAGGGGAAGATTATCACAAGGGTAGATGAAAGGAGATTATCACAGGGGTAGGTGAAAGGAGATTATCACAAGGGTAGGTGAAAGGAGATTATCACAAGGGTAGGTGAAAGGGGAAGATTATCACAAGGGTAGGTGAAAGGGGAAGATTATCACAAGGGTAGGTGAAAGGAGATTATCACAAGGGTAGGTGAAAGGGGAAGATTATCACAAGGGTAGATGAAAGGAGAAGATTATCACAAGGGTAGGTGAAAGGAGATTATCACAAAGGTAGGTGAAAGGGGAAGATTATCACAAGGGTAGGTAAAAGGGGAAGATTACCACAGGGGTAGGTGAAAGGGGAAGATTATCACAGGGGTAGGTGAAAGGAGATTATCACAAGGGTAGGTGAAAGGGGAAGATTATCACAGGGGTAGGTGAAAGGAGATTATCACAAGGGTAGGTGAAAGGGGAAGATTATCACAGGGGTAGGTGAAAGGAGAAGATTATCACAGGGACAGGTGAAAGGAAATTATCACAAGGGTAGGTAAAAGGGGAAGATTATCACAAGGGTAGGTAAAAGGAGATTATCACAAGGGTAGGTGAAAGGGGAAGATTATCACAAGGGTAGGTAAAAGGGGAAGATTACCACAGGGGTAGGTGAAAGGAGAAGATTATCACAGGGACAGGTGAAAGGAGATTAATATTACAAGAGTAGGTGAAAGGAGAAGATTATCACAGGGGTAGGTGAAAGGAGAAGATTATCACAAGGGTAGGTGAAAGGGGAAGATTATCACAAGGGTAGGTGAAAGGAGAAGATTATCACAGGGGTAGGTGAAAGGAGATTAATATCACAGGAGTAGGTGAAAGGAGAAGATTATCACAGGGGTAGGTGAAAAGAGAAGATTATCACAGGGGCAGGTGAATGTGATTAATAACACAGGAGCATGTGAAAATGAGAAATGAAATATATTAGTATTGATTTGGCATTTACTTTTTGAAGACCTGGCAAGCCTTTGTATATAATACATAGTAATACAAGCTCAATGGAATAAGTTTTGTTTGGAATGCTTTGTTACTGTAATATTTGTCCACCATCAGACACCCTTGTGATGGCAGTCTTGCTGTGCAATAATGTTTCAGGGACTCAACATCTTCATATTGATTGTAAATAACAACAGCCTACTAGAAAACACAAAAAATCACATTATTATCCTTGCATATTAATTATCATTTTTGTAACAAATGATACAGTGAAAAATTATTACTGACAAAATATGATTAATTTTCTTAAGCAGTAGCGTTAGTATCACTGATAATAGGGTTGGTGTCTTTCGATGGTTGTATCTGTGGCAATACGGAATTACAGTTGTAATTATTGAACAAATAGGAAATTTCAATATCCTGACATCTATTCATTAATAATCGTTGCTGCATGTTGTTACAAAATCATTATTATAGCTCTTACAATGAATCAAAATCAGATTGTGTGTTGGTTTGCATCTTATACAAGACTTTCCAGTGACGTTAATTTCTAGCTTGGTGCATAAGGTGTAAGATATTGACGTCATAGCTACCATTAGTGCAGTTGTTTGGCTGATTTTCTTGCTGTTTGAACATAATCCATCTGAGCTTTAATGGTCGTTGCCCTGTAATGGTCACTGACTCCTCTCCTGCTGCCATCAGCTCATTCTTTCAGATTACAATTAATATCCTTCTTATGTGAAGTTTAACAAGACATCAAAGTACTAGGTCCAGTCATCAGAGTTCCATGTCTAGCCTTCAAAATACTATGTCTAGCCATTCGAATACTGTCATGATACATCAGAGAATAGTAGGAGACATCAGAGTACAGACTAGTACCAGGACTAGACATCAGAGTACCAGGATTAGACATCAGAGTACCAGGATTAGACATCAGAGTACCAGGACTAGACATCAGAGTACCAGGACTAGACATCAGAGTTCCAGGACTAGACATCAGAGTACCAGGACTAGACATCAGAGTACCAGGACTAGACATCAGAGTACCAGGACTAGACATCAGAGTACCAGGACTAGACATCAGAGTACCAGGACTAGACATCAGAGTACCAGGACTAGACATCAGAGTACCAGGACTAGACATCAGAGTACCAGGACTAGACATCAGAGTACCAGGACTAGACATCAGAGTACCAGGATTAGACATCAGAGTACCAGGACTAGACATCAGAGTACCAGGACTAGACATCAGAGGTCCAGGACTAGACATCAGAGCACCAGGACTAGACATCAGAGTACCAGGACTAGACATCAGAGTACCAGGACTAGACATCAGAGTTCCAGGACTAGACATAGAGTACCAGAACTAGACATCAGAGTTCCAGGACTAGACATCAGAGTACCAGGACTAGACATCAGAGTTCCAGGACTAGACATCAGAGTACCAGGACTAGACATCAGAGTTCCAGGACTAGACATCAGAGTACCAGGACTAGACATCAGAGGTCCAGGACTAGACATCAGAGTACCAGGACTAGACATCACAGCACCAGGACTAGACATCAGAGTACCAGGACTAGACATCAGAGTACCAGGATTAGACATCAGAGCACCAGGACTAGACATCAGAGTACCAGGACTAGACATCAGAGTTCCAGGACTAGACATCAGAGTACCAGGACTAGACATCAGAGTTCCAGGACTAGACATCAGAGCACCAGGACTAGACATCAGAGGTCCAGGACTAGACATCAGAGCACCAGGATTAGACATCAGAGCACCAGGATTAGACATCAGAGCACCAGGACTAGACATCAGAGTACCAGGACTAGACATCAGAGTACCAGGACTAGACATCAGAGTACCAGGACTAGACATCACAGCACCAGGACTAGACATCAGAGTACCAGGACTAGACATCAGAGTACCAGGACTAGACATCAGAGTACCAGGACTAGACATCAGAGTACCAGGACTAGACATCAGAGTACCAGGACTAGACATCAGAGTTCCAGGACTAGACATCAGAGTACCAGGACTAGACATCAGAGTACCAGGACTAGACATCAGAGTACCAGGACTAGACATCAGAGTACCAGGACTAGACATCAGAGTACCAGGACTAGACATCAGAGCACCAGGACTAGACATCAGAGCACCAGGACTAGACATCAGAGTACCAGGACTAGACATCAGAGTACCAGGACTAGACATCAGAGTTCCAGGACTAGACATCAGAGTACCAGGACTAGACATCAGAGGTCCAGGACTAGACATCAGAGGTCCAGGACTAGACATCAGAGTACCAGGACTAGACATCAGAGCTCCAGGACTAGACATCAGAGTACCAGGACTAGACATCAGAGCACCAGGACTAGACATCAGAGTACCAGGACTAGACACCAGAGTACCAGCACTAGACATCAGAGTACCAGGACAAGACATCAGAGTACCAGCACTAGACATCAAAGTACCAGGACAAGACATCAGGGTACCAGGACTAGACATCAAAGTACCAGGACAAGACATCAGAGTTCCAGGACTAGACATCAGAGTTCCAGGAATGTAGGAACAAACCTGTTATTGATATTCCTTCATTACATTTCTGTAACACGGGTTTAAAATTGGCAAATTTACTTGAATACTGGGAATTCTAGTGAATTATTCATTTTGATTTAATGTTTTGTTTCAAAATATTTGTTTGGAGCCAGGGATTGCATGATCCAGGGTATAAATAAATCATTCCCAATAAAATGGTAACTGGTGCAGTTCTCTGTATTTGTGAAAGATTGTATCTACCCAAGATTTACATTAAAACTGTGGGCTGATCCTTGTGTTTCATGAGAAAGAGAATTGAGGTTTTTGTAGCTGATTTTAACATGGTTTTTCCATAAAACAGAAAGTGTTTGCAATAACACACATTTTGAAAAGAAGAGCTTTTGTCTTATTTCTCCTGAAAATAATGTTACAATAGTTTACCAAAGTGAAACAAGGGATTTTAGAAGACGTAGAACAGATATTGCTGGTCACTAGATTAAAACTCATACTAAAAGAATTAAAGATGGCTTCCAGCTCAAGCAAACAAGTGACACAGTTTATATCTTGGACTTCAGTCATTTTACTTTCTTCTGATCGGCCGTGTTTAAGTCAATTCTGGCTGTGAAAGCCCATCAACAAAGCCAGTTAATCTAAATAAAGACTATTGGATCTTGTGTGCTGAATCAGATATGTCAGGGTCTGGGTGTGTTACGTCATCCTTAGATAATTTACATGTATTTCGGCAGTAAATATCTGTCCTGGAGTGGAACACAGTCGGCCATTTAGCCATAGGTACTGGATCTATGATAATTGATCTCCCTTCTCTCAAGGTCATTGATCAAGGATCCTAGATATCAACTGTTCCCTCAAGGTCACTAATCTGGCAGAATCTCTATTCTTGTGTCAAAGTCTTTGATCCATAACAGCAGTTTTTCCTTCTTATCTCAAGGTCCATTGATTATATATCCCTTTCAAGGTCGTTGAATTTGTAAAATCTGTCTCTTATTTACTTGGCATGATGATGCACAGAAATTTTTGTTTATTTACAAATAAAAACAAAGATTGAGTTCCTGTGGGTGACAAGCTAAACTGAGACAGTAAAATGACAACTAATGAATTAATTTTGTTTATCATTTTTGTTTTCATGAACATGATCTTAAATGTTTGTTTTTTACAGGTATTTGGTTATTACCTGGCATTCTGTGGAATTGGGTTGAAAAATGCTCAGCTTTATGAAAAATCACTTTTGGAAAACAGAAGAAATCAGGTATGGATGGCATCAACTTTAGACACCATTTCATGTTCATTCAAACCATATTCCAAATGATGTCACTAAAAAATTAAAATAAAGAATACAATCATATGACCATTTATGTTACCATAACAAGTCTGTCAATCAAAATTAGTTGTAAAGTTATCAACACCAACTGTGTCATTTCCTGTATAGAGTATGAGAAGTCCATGATAATCAGTGATACATGTTTCTCTGATATACGGAAGTTTGACTATAACTAATGCCTCTCTTCAAATAAACCACCACGAGATATAGAATGGACATTTGTCAATATATAGGTATTACTAGGTGAACATGACAAAGTCTCATGGTGACATATTGCACTCACCTTCATCTGGCATTGTGTGTCGTGTGTCATGCATCCATAAACAATCTAAAAATTTCGACTTCTTCTCAAAAACTCCTAATCTGATTTCAATGAGATTTGCTGAAACCTTCCCTTGTCTAAGATGAACCAAAATTGTGAATTTTACAGTCCCCCACTCCTCAGAGGCCTGAGGGGTGGGGCCAAAAGGGGTCAAATTGACTTGGTTTCAAAAATCTTTTTCAAAGATCCAGATATAGTAGAATCAAATACTCATCATGAATGGAAGCATGTTAAGGTGCTTTACCAAAAATGTGAATTTCATGGTCCCAGGGTTTCACATATTCCCCATGGTGAGGGGGTAAACTTTACTATAGTTTAAATAGGAAAACAGGATTTTTGAGAACAATTTTTTTCATTTCCATTAGAAATATTTCAAACTTGGTTGGAATTATGAGTGAAGGATGATGGTGTGATGGTATGCCCATTTTTATCCTGACTGTCCCACAGGGGCTGATGGGCGGGTCCAAAAGGGGTTAAATTGACTTAAATTTCAAAAGCTTCTTCTCAACACCTACATATGGATGGAAGCATCTTAAGTTGCTTCAATTACCAAAATGATTATCATATTTCTTCCTTGGGAGGAAAATTGTTTTAGACTTTAATGTAATTTTCAGAGAGAAATTTCATTTTGGAACATAATGTTGGTTATTTCCCACTGGAAATAACTTTGTAAGAATTATCAGTATAGGATGACAGTTTTGATGGCATGCATGTATTAACACTGGCTTACCATATTCAGTGTCACAATTTCTGTTTCATGACACTTGATAACTATCCTTTAACCTTTACTTTCAATATTACTTATCTCAGGTGACTGTCAAGGCCACTAGGCCTCTTGTATAAAAAGAGGTTATGCATTGAATGCTTCTGGCATATGATATTTCTTTAACTGAAGTTAGCAATTTTCAACAGTTACAAAAAAACAGAAAACAAAAATACACATGAGCTTTAGTGAGTCTTTTTGAAACTTTTTGAAAATAACTTACAAGAATGAAAGAGATACCAAACACCACAAACTAGAGTTTGTTTGAACTGTTTCTACCACAATAAAAAAAGGTAGTCTAAAGTTCAGTTGACTTGTTCTGTACCCATATATGTTTTGTTTACATCATCAGTTATGGCTTTAGACCTGTAGTGAAATGCTGCTAATTAATATGCATAACTGATAAACAGAAAACATGGAAATTTTGTAATGCAATACAAATTTAATCTATAAATAAATTGGGTCGTTATCTTTAATGAAAAAAAGGATGGACATCAAAATGAAAATCATATTAACAACTGGAAATTAATGGCAGATTTTAATTTGTATGTGTACTTTAAGCACCATGTGGGTCAAAGTTCATCCTGTCAGCCAAGTAAAACATGCTAAAACATTATACATATGTACTACATGTGGTAAAACAAGTATGCTTATACGACAGTTGGTATAATTAATTGATGGCTTTGGAGTTGAATAACAGCAATCTATATTTTAAATTTAACTTTAATTTCTATAATGACAAACCAGTTTGAACATTTTTCCAGCTAAAGGTTCATTATTTCTGTACATCAACAAAAATTAAAATAATTTGCCCCATGAGATATCAGTAATATTTCAGGAAAGACGAGAATGTATACAATTATGATGGCAACTTATTTTTGCAGGTTCTGCTTGACTTGGCACGTGTTATCTTTGAGGAGCAGAGCAATGTTGCCAACCTCATCTACAAGATAATGATGCATACACAGTCCTTGTTGCAATGTCAACGCTGTCAGGTGATGCTGATTGAAGACCTATCTAAGGTAAGACCCCCGCCATTGCCCCTACCCTGATATTGTGTTCTGCTTGTAGTCACAACACGGGCCCTGTGCAGCAGACATGGTAGCTAGGTTATAGTATATAGTCACCGCTTCGTTAGACAAATCACTGCTTGTGTTATGTTGTTATTAACAGATGTTGGGTTAAAGTCATAGATTTCTACCGTAAATTAGTTTAAACTTTTAACAAATAATCTGACATGATGGATGGATGAAGACAAACAATCAACGAATGGAACATTGTAGACTAAGTGTGACTAATATAGATAAAACAATGACTGATAAGTGTGAGATTTATTGATATTACACATATATAGATTACCAGGAACTTAATAGTAATACAGATTACCAGGACCTTGACAGTTATATAGATTACCAAGAACTTAACAGTAATACAGATTACCAGGACCTTGACAGTAATACAGATTACCAGGACCTTGTCAGTAATACAGATTACCAGGACCATGACAGTAATACAGATTACCAGGACCTTGACAGTAATACAGATTACCGGACCTTGACAGTAATACAGATTACCAGGACCTCGACAGTAATACAGATTACCAGGACCTTGACATTAATACAGATTGCGAGGACCTTGTCAGTAATACAGATTACCAGGACCTCGACAGTAATTCAGATTACCAGGACCTTGACAGTAATACAGATTGCGAGGACCTTGTCAGTAATACAGATTACCAGGACCTTGACAGTAATACAGATTACCAGGACCTTGACAGTAATTCAGATTACTAGGACCTTGACAGTAATATAGATTGCGAGGACCTTGACAGTAATACAGATTACCAGGACCATGACAGTAATACAGATTGCGAGGACCTTGACAGTAATACAGATTACCAGGACCATGACAGTAATACAGATTACCAGGACATTGACAGTAATACAGATTGCGAGGACCTTGACAGTAATACAGATTCCCAGGACCATGACAGTAATACAGATTACCAGGACCTTGACAGTAATACAGATTGCGAGGACCTTGACAGTAATACAGATTACCAGGACCTTGACAGTAATACAGATTGCGAGGACCTTGACAGTAATACAGATTACCAGGACCTTGACAGTAATACAGATTACCAGGACCATGACAGTAATACAGATTACCAGGACCTTTCTGGATCGGAAATACTGTTTTATATCAGAGAAATTAGGGAGATTTTTTTATGATAAAGCTTTTGAGAAATTCAGTATGTATGCTCCACTGCCAAACTTTATACAGGTTACACAATTTACTGGTCTCAATAGACAGCATATGGAATACTCAGTTGTCATGTTATAACATTATAATGCTGGGTTACAAGAAATTCAGTGATCAGATAACTGTGAATTATTTCTAACATTGTGAAATGTTCAATCTCAATGTGTTAGGTAACTCTAGGGTGCTGGACTGTCATCTTATGGTGTTCAGTGTATCTAAGATATTGGACTGTTATATGATGGTGTTAGGGAAAAATTGGATTTCACTTTGACAAGCTGCTTTGATTCTGTTCATTGTCATCCATGGAGATGGTTACTCATTAAAACTTTTGGAGGATGTGGAGATAGAACTCCCAATGACTGCTTGCTAGTTATGTATGTGGTCCAGTTGATAATGTAGATCACTGTGAGTTGGAGGTAACTTAAGGAGTGTTCCATCATGTGTCCAACTACTAGTCGACAAGACAGATCAAGTGTAGAAGGGAACAGAATCAATCAGTTGCCGAGACACTCTGAAATTAGCTGCCATCATGTGAATTGTTATCGGTTTCCGTGCCTGCTTCGTTGTCATGTGGATGTTTGACAGCCATCTTAACTGACAATCAGGTCCTTATAGTTGATTCAGATTTTACTTTGCACCCCGCCCCACAGGCACAATTAAGCAGTGTGTCTGATGCTTTAATCAAGACATAAGGCCAGTTCACACAAACTTCATAGATGTGGTGTACGTGAGTGCTGCCATTTAGTTAGTGAAGTGTGCTATTTGTCAGGTGTAGGTATAATTAGTGGGCTGTAATTAGTGGGAGTAATTACAGGGTGTGGACAAGAAGGCAGTGGAGCATGTAATGTCCTCATCAACAATTACGTCAAAGTCTCGACCAATTTTTTTAGGTTTATTATCAGTTGCCTCCCTTGAACGTAAAAAGTATTATATATTTTTTGTCACATTTTGACTTTTAAACAATTTAAGTATATGGATATATAATTTAAGTATATGGATATATAATGTTGTTGTTGTTGGTATTAATGTGCTGTGTTTATACACCGCAGTCACACCCTTACTGTGCTTCAAATGTCAGAACAGCCATCCATGTAAATATGTAGACATGTCTCGCCCTCTGTCACACAACTTATAAGTGAAAGAGACAGCCAATAAAAAGACTTTCAAATTGTAATTTTCTTTGTTTTTCCCCCTAAATATTTTTGAAAATGTCCAAAGAGGTAAAAATCATAAAGTTCTTAAAAAAATGATAGATTTTTATATTTTAAACAATAAAACTTAATTTTCATATTATGTCTTGACCTTCTTATTCCTGTTTCATTCATAATGTAAAAGATATCCTAAATTCCAATGTTGACTGTACTATTGAAGAGAATTATATTGTGTGACAGGGCACTGGCTTGTTCTAGCTATATATATATCCTAAATCTAGTCATTCCTGCATGTATATTATTGTTGATATATTTTTTGCTTCTTTTCAATTTCAGGACAAAAACAAAAAGCTTACTATCAAAAAAAGCATGGTGAATATTACACTATTTTGTTAATGCTCCTTTTAACATTGATTTTACCTCTATATATTGTATCACTGCACTGACAGCAACAAAGCACCCATATCAAGTGTGTTGCTTTTATTTTACTCACTTCTGGTACATTATGGCTGTGCATATTTGTATTAAATTACTTAATTAGATTTAGTGGTATCTAGCTGTATAGTACACTAAATTTTGTGAATGTAGTGGTATGTGATATAGCTAAAACTACATTGAGTTAAGTGGTTTGTAGTATAGCTGTGAACATGTAACTTTACTAATGGGAAAAAGAAACTTTGTAAATTTAAATATTTCAGTATTTCTCACCTATGATTTAAAAAATTATACTCTGAAGTATTAAATGCTTGTTTGATTGGTAAGATTTTTTAACGCTGCCATTGTTGTGCTTTAATGGTCTTCAATTTTTTTTTTCTATTTTTGAACCTTAGCAATGTTTATTAAGAAAACAGTCAAAAATTCTCCTTTTTATTGGTCATATTCTATGCAGCCTGTTAAAAAACTGTTGTTTCCTGAGTTGTTTCCTGGAGAGAATTTTGCTAAGAACAAATCATATATGGGTAAAAATGAATGTTTGCTGGCTATTAGCATGCTAGAGGCTGGAATTTCTCAGAATGAAGTGGCAGGGCAGTTTTGGGTGTGCTTTAACATGACAAATGCTTTTTGGAGGTGTTTTCAGCCAACAGACATGGTATGGGTATGCCCATGAACAGGACGTTATCGTGTGACGCCGCGTCAGCAAGATTCATATATACATACATTTGTGTAACTGGTTATAGTCCTTTTCATTGAAAGCTAGAACCTTTCCAGAGTTAGACGGATCAGTTCCAGAACTGAGCAAAATAGATTGCAGGAGGCCAACGCCTGCCTTCAATGTCCTTCAATCAGTCTAGTTTTAATTCAATGTCAAAGAGTTGCATCCTTAGAATAGCACAGTAATCATCTACGATCTACCAACAGAGACTGATCTGAAGTGCTATTCAATGATGAGTCCAGATTTCACCTCGATAGAAGTGATAGTTCGGGTCAGCAAGGAGAATGTTACAGTGATGTTGGTGATGTTTCAGGAGAGAAAGCTTTATGGTCTTGGGCGGCATTACAATGCATGAATGGACTTTTTGGGTTATATTGGAAGGCAACTTGACTGGTGTGCGCTGCTGTGACGAAATTATACATAGTCACGTACCTCCATCTATTTGTACTAGCCAGCATAACATAAGACATAACATCATATTTATTTTACATCAGGACAACGTCCACCTCATACTGCCCTTGTTATTGGGAGATATCTACAGCAGCAGAATGTCTCTCTGCTACCTTGACCTGCTGTGTCAACTGATTTGTCTCCAACTGACATCAGAATCAGTAGTCAAACTCTCCCATCATGTTGGATGCACATTGCACATTGTTAGGCATATGGCAAAATATTCCACAAGCATTTCTGTATAATTTCATGAGTTCCATGCGATGTAGATATGTGGCATGCATCAATATGAGTGATGGACATACACAGTATAAAACTTGTGACACTAGATTCCGAGCCCTCTTCCTTCTGTGATATGAATTTCAATCATGTCTGACTGGCTGTCTGATTCACTGAGTCGATATGAAGATAATGCATTGTTAAGAAAGATTTGGTACAAAATGAAAAAAAATATATAGTTTATGAATAAATGAAATAGTCGAAATACACAGTCTCTTTTTTCCATTAGTATTCATTGAATTTAGTTGTTTGTAGTGTAGCTGTATAATTACACTGAATTTAGTTGTTTGTAGTATAGCTGTATAATTACACTGAATTTAGTTGTATAGAGTATAGCTGTTTAATTACACTGAATTTAGTTGTTTGTAGTATAGCTGTATAATTACACTGAATTTAGTTGTATAGAGTATAGCTGTATAATTACACTTAATTTTGTTGTTTGCAGTATAGCTGTATAATTACACTGAATTTAGTTGTATAGAGTATTACACCAAAATGAGTTGTTTGTAGTATAGCTGCATAATTACACTTAATTTAGTTGTATTGTGCATAATTACACTTAATTTAGTTGTATAGCTGCATAATTACACTTAATTTAGTTGTTTGTAGTATAGCTGTATAATTACACCAAATTGAGTTGTTTGTAGTATAGCTGCATAATTACACTGAATTTAGTTGTATAGAGTATAGCTGTATAATTACACCAAATTGAGTTGTATGTAGTATAGCTGTATAATTACACTGAATTTAGTTGTTTGTAGTATAGCTGTATAATTACACTGAATTTAGTTGTATGTAGTATAGCTGTATAATTACACTTAATTTAGTTGTTTGTAGTATAGCTGTATAATTACGCCAAATTGAGTTGTTTATAGTATAGCTGTATAATTACACCTAATTTAGTTGTTTGTAGTATAGCCGATAATTACACTGAATTTAGTTGTTTGTAGTATAGCCGATAATTACACTGAATTTAGTTGTATAGAGTATAGCTGTATAATTACACTGAATTTAGTTGTTTGTAGTATAGCTGTATAATTACACTGAATTGAGTTGTTTGTAGTATAGCTGTATAATTACACTTAATTTAGTTGTATAGAGTATAGCTGTATAATTACACCAAATTTAGTTGTTTGTAGTATAGCTGTATAATTACACTGAATTTAGTTGTATAGAGTATAGCTGTATAATTACACTGAATTTAGTTGTATAGAGTATAGCTGTATAATTACACCTAATTTAGTTGTTTGTAGTATAGCTGTATAATTACACCAAATTGAGTTGTTTGTAGTATAGCTGCATAATTACACCAAATTGAGTTGTTTGTAGTATAGCTGTATAATTACACTGAATTTAGTTGTATAGAGTATAGCTGTATAATTACACCAAATTTAGTTGTTTGTAGTATAGCTGTATAATTACACCAAATTGAGTTGTTTGTAGTATAGCTGCATAATTACACTGAATTTAGTTGTATAGAGTATAGCTGTATAATTACACCAAATTGAGTTGTTTGTAGTATAGCTGTATAATTACACCAAATTGAGTTGTTTGTAGTATAGCTGCATAATTACACTGAATTTAGTTGTATAGAGTATAGCTGTATAATTACACCAAATTGAGTTGTTTGTAGTATAGCTGTATAATTACACCAAATTGAGTTGTTTGTAGTATAGCTGCATAATTACACTGAATTTAGTTGTATAGAGTATAGCTGTATAATTACACCAAATTTAGTTGTTTGTAGTATAGCTGTATAATTACACTGAATTTAGTTGTATAGAGTATAGCTGTATAATTACACTGAATTTAGTTGTATGTAGTATAGCTGTATAATTACACTGAATTTAGTTGTTTGTGGTATAGCTGTATAATTACACCAAATTGAGTTGTTTGTAGTATAGCTGCATAATTACGCCAAATTTAGTTGTTTATAGTATAGCTGTATAATTACACCGAATTTAGTTGTATAGAGTATAGCTGTATAATTACACCAAATTTAGTTGTTTGTAGTATAGCTGTATAATTACACTGAATTTAGTTGTATTTAGTATAGCTGTATAATTACACTGAATTTAGTTGTATGTAGTATAGCTGTATAATTACACTGAATTTAGTTGTTTGTGGTATAGCTGTATAATTACACCAAATTGAGTTGTTTGTAGTATAGCTGCATAATTACGCCAAATTGAGTTGTTTATAGTATAGCTGTATAATTACACCTAATTTAGTTGTTTGTAGCATAGCCGATAATTACACTGAATTTAGTTGTTTGTAGTATAGCCGATAATTACACTGAATTTAGTTGTATAGAGTATAGCTGTATAATTACACTGAATTTAGTTGTTTGTAGTATAGCTGTATAATTACACTGAATTGAGTTGTTTGTAGTATAGCTGTATAATTACACTTAATTTAGTTGTATAGAGTATAGCTGTATAATTACACTGAATTTAGTTGTATAGAGTATAGCTGTATAATTACACTGAATTGAGTTGTTTGTAGTATAGCTGTATAATTACACTGAATTTAGTTGTATAGCTGTATAATTACACTGAATTTAGTTGTATAGAGTATAGCTGTATAATTACACTGAATTTAGTTGTTTGTAGTATAGCTGTATAATTACACTGAATTTAGTTGTATAGAGTATAGGTGTATAATTACACTGAATTTAGTTGTTTGTAGTATAGCTGTATAATTACACTGAATTTAGTTGTTTGTGGTATAGCTGTATAATTAGATTAGCTTTGTAGTGTGTAGTATATATATATAACTGCACTAATTATATAGCTGTCTGACTGCACTGAACTTTCTTTACACTGTACATATATGTTGTAACGTTGTGTAACAACAGGTAGTATAGATGTAAAATTAGGCAGAATATAGTTGTATGTGGTATATTTGTATGAATTGCATTGAATTTTATGATTTGTTTGATATGACTGTAAAACCAGAATTTGATGTGTATAACACAATTGTGTCCCCCCATTCACTTTAGTGCAGATCGTTCCTCACTAACATACTAAAGCTTACCCTGGTTTATCGTTTAGTTGTATCAACGTAACAATTCCGTTATTTTCTTCGTATACATAAAGTAACAAATAAAAATCAGAGTTGATGGGTGAGTGGAATACAGCTATTTCAATCCTTATTTTATGATCATTTAAAACAGCAGGTAACAAATGTGATCTTTTGAAGTCGTAATTTTTAAAATGTATATTGTTATTTTTATATTTGGTAAGAAATTTTAATGGCTTGTGGCTTTTATTGCAATATTGTCCAATTTTGTTGCACCTGCCTTTCTAACCAATTAAATACCTTGTTACAAACTGGTGATGGAATTGCTTGGTCCCCTGGATCTGTAATCTTGGTAACCAATCAAATACTTTGTTAAATGTTGTTGATGGAATTGATTAGTCACATTAATGTTGCCTAATTTACTAACCAATCATGTTCTTTGTTATATATTTTGTTGGTGGAATGGATT